TCAATTTAAGGTAAGGGTTAGGGTTAGGTTTAGGTTAGGTTTAGGGTTAGGTTAAGGGTTAGGTTTAGGGTTAAGTTTAGGGTTAGATTAAGGGTTAGGTTTAGGTTTAGGTTTAGGTTTAGGGTTAGGTTTAGGATTAGGGGGGTTAGGTTTAGGTTTAGGGGTTAATTTTAGGTTTAGCGTTTACAGCGTGCTTCTGTCCCCGCGCTGTTGGCGCCCTGTTGATGACGTCACCTACACGGTTTAGTCGAGCGCGGTTTAGTCGAACGTGGTTTTGTGATGGAACCGCCCACAGGCACAAACCGCTGGGCTCTCCCTGCTTTGCCTTCAGCGGGTCCCCAATGCAGGAAAGGCGGAATTGGGAGAAGGGTCGCCCGCTGTTCCCAAGAGCCAGGGCTGCAGAGGGGCTGGCTGAGGGGAGGCCCAGGTGGAAAAGGGGCCAAAGTCTGAGGAGTGAAGGATCTGCAAAGCTTCCAATCTGGCCACCCCAAAGAGGCTCTGCAGGGAGGCAATTAGAACACACAGAAGGAAGGAGCCGGAAGGGGCCTTGGAGGTCCTCTAGTCCAGCCCCCTCCTCAAGCAGGAGAAGAGGCCTACGTCATGGACTTCTTTCTGAGGGGGAGGAGGTGAAGCAGCCTCTTCCCTTCCCCGGCCCAGGCATCCCCACCGGGAGCAACAAGGCCCGTCTCTCTCGGGGGCGGAAGGGAGGCGGCAGCGGCCCCTTCCCTCTCTCCCTCGGGGCCAGCAGCGCCAGACGGGAAGCGTTTCCACCGGGCCGAGAGCTTCCCAGAGGAGAACGGCCGGGCCTTCGACTGCGACGCCCTGCGGCCTCCTGCCTGGGGCAGAGGGTTGGACTAGAGGACCTCTGGGCTCCCCGCCGGCCCTACGATTTTTATGCTCGATGAAATTCTGCTCGGGAGGAAGGATCCCTTCCCTGCGCCTGAACGGGGCCCGGGGGAGAGGATCGCTAGCTCGCCTCGGCTCCAACTGGGTGGACTTCCTCTCCCACAATCCCACAGCCAGCGCGGCCACCGGAGAGGATTCTGGGAGGTGGAGTTTCCCGCCCTGGGAAGTTCGGGCCCAGGCAATGGGAAGGCGGCCTCGCCTCGCACCAAGACCTCCGGGAAGCCTCTCCCGGCCGAGCGGCCTCCCTCGTGTTGAGCGAGAAAGGCCCAACCAAGCCGGAACGCTTCCCAGGAGCCGCGACTCCCTGGTTGATATCAAACTGGCTATTATAAAATGGGTGGACTTCAACTCCCAGAATGCCCTGGTCAGCATCGCCCCTGCTGAGGTTTCTGGGAGGTGGAGTCCACAAACACCCGGAAACTGCTCCGACCGCCTCTGACGTCACGCACTACCGCCGCTCACCCTCCCCGTCGCCCTGGCAACCCGGGACCGGCAGGGCGCGCGTCGTCATTTCCTGCCCTCGCTCCCCACCCCCGCGGGTCCCTCTGCGTCGCCTTTACCTGGCGGTCTCCCTCCCCGGCCCGGCGGCCGGTGAGGAAAAGCGGCGAGCGGCCTTCACGATGGCTTCTTACAAATGGCTCGCGAAATCCTTCTGTAACGAAGGCTCTCATTGGCCGGGGCGGGCAGCGCGGAGCACCACGGGAGACCGAGTCCAGGCCCCGCTGGTCCGGAAGAGGCACGTGGTACTCAACAGCCGCCTCTAGCCCCGCGGGAGCTGCGGGGGCTCCTCTGTTGTTCCCCCCCCCCCGATGGCTCTGGCCTCGGAGCAGCCACCCGCCCCGATCTCTGGGGGAGGCCGATGAAAGCACGCAAAGGCTGCCAGCCTCTTCCCCAAAAGTAAGCTTGGAATAGCTAAAAACAAAACAAACCAATTAAATATAACAAGGTAAACGCGAGCTCACATTTTTATTAACATCTGAATGGCTTTCCAAAGTCAGGGCTTCTGGAGTGAAGTTCTTCAACTTCTGTACATAAGTATCAAAACACATTCGTTTCAATGAAGCTTCCAAAATTCATACAGAAATTAAAACAAAAACAAAATGCTGCTACTTAGAAAAAAACAACACTCCCAGGCAGCACTTTGTCTCTGCACACCAGAGTAACAAAGCTGATGCCTGGATGAGAAACTGGGGCAAAGGGGGCAGGCAGCTAGAAGGAAGGGTCCCATCCTTTTTCCTTAGAGCCCCAGTCTGGTTGCAGCAACAAGGGAGACGCCAACAGGGGTGCTTAAGAAACGGGCTCTGGCTCACAGAGGCTCAGAAGGGCCCTTCCACTGCTCTCTAGTATTGTCTAACTAAAACAGTAATCAACTTTTAAAAAATACTGTAATTTATTTTTTTTGCCTTCCCCTTTCAAATATTTACATATTGTTGAAAGCATTAAAGCTTGAGTTGCTGTCAACTCAAAGGACAATACTCCAAGGACCACAAATATTGTCCAACTGTTGAAAGCTTTCTTGGTTTGCTGACTGTGAGATCTTAGCTGGCTTCTGTGAAGGAAATCTGTACTCAATTCTGCTGTTGAAAGTATATACAAAGAAAAATTCCCAGATGGCACCAGGCTCGCCTCAGACCTATTCACATTTCTCTTTTAAAAGAATTGTGCAGGCAGAGAGAGTAAGCAGAAAGAAGACAGGCCTATACAAATTTTAAAGGAAGCAGACAATTAATGAAGTGAAACTAATGTACAAGTTGCATCTTTTGGGGATGCTTTATTTATAAAATGTTAGGGCCAGGATCCGTTTATAAGACAACAATTTGTTTTCTCAGCAGCCAACCCTCTACTTTGGTTCTGGCCCCTTTTGTTCCATGAAATTAGGGTGGCCGCTCACTGTCTTGTGCATATCAGCAACTTCTCAATTGGTTGCTCCACTACAACCAATGCAGAACGGAAAGCAAACACCTCCATGTGCCCAGATGTTAATTGGGGTATAATCACTACGCCCAGGATAGCGCTCTTTCTGCATCTTCTGAAAGCTAGCTAGGAGGTAGGATAATGCTATTATTATTAATTATTATTATTATTTGGCCTCTGAATTCAAAAATGCTTTATCCAGTTGGTCCTTCAGGCTTTAGTTGGAGCACCCCTTTTACTCCTGGCTTGATACACACAATGCTATATAGTTTAATAGCTCTATCTGTACATGTTAAATCAAGTCAGACTTGCTCCAGGTGAGTAAAAAGCTGCTAAGACCAATGTATCTATATCTCTGAAAAATGAGAGCATGACTGTTTATTCAAAGTCTAACAGTGTATTAGAATATTCACATGCAAAAGTCAAAGCTTAAATTATAGCCATTAAGTCATGTAGAGGTCTTTCTGTCTCTTACTCTTTCAACGGAGACATACAAAAGCTGAGCGACTTTTGTGAAAATATTAATTTGCTAAAATAGTTGACATGATAAAGGATACATGTAAATGTAAAAATGGACAGGTTTTAAAAAGCTGGCTCCTAAGATTGTGTCACATTTTAATAAGATCTGAATTGAGCTTATGTTCATCAGTCAATGAACAGGGACACACACACACCCCCGGCACCTCCTGACACCGAGCAGAGTGCAGAGCTGGGTTCTGTGAACACGAGGCACTTGCCCGCATCCTGGCTCCTACTTCATAATTGAATGGTGACAGTAAGGCAAAAACCACTTTCCGAAAAATGTTTAGATACAAAATAATGTAAACGAATAAGTTATATTTGAAATCCCAGTATAACAAAAGCAAGGAGATGGACACTTTATACATCAGGCTCTCTTTAAAACAGAATTGTGCACAAACTGAAGATTTCAATAAACCCCCAGAATTCACACAGTTTTGGCGTGTCTTTTTTCTCTCGTATAACTTCTTTCATGTACATTTAAGTCATATTAGGAATGCAAACTAGACTGCATACTACTTCAGTGGAAAAAAAAGTTTGATATTGTGCAATTTCCTGCCGCTATACTAAAAGTGGCAGAAATCCCTGCATTAGTTGTGTTTCAAACATGGATCTTAAGAAACACATCTCAAAAGAGGAAAAGAAGGCAAAAGTTGGCAGATATCCAGCATCTAGTATCTCCTGTGTGTTTTTTAAAAAAAAGCGTGAACAACAAAGTTTCATGATTAAAAATAAATACTGTTTGACTTTTGCACTGACTTGATTGGATAGATTTTTTTTAAGTAAACAAAGGATTTTACAATGCTCCATACAGCCTCAAAGCCACAGGTGTTCTATTCCAGAGTCCTTCTGTCTCTCACTGTGTTTCAAAACCTGCCATCCGATATCCAGTTTGACTAGTTAGAACACTTCCATTTTGCCCCTGGGGTGGTGGAGGGGGGGGCGGAGGAGGGGGTGGTACACCATAATTTGCACCCATCCATGCTGCAGATGACTGTGTCTGACTGAATGGAAGAGGAAATGAGGTTAGATAAAGCTTGCATTGTAATAGGAAGACAAAAGCAAGCAATCATGTTGAGTATTTCTTGTATGTTTTCCGTAACATCGGAAGCCTGGGATCACAACATTCTTATCAACCAGTGCCTTAAGTAACTACCCGTTCATATTTTCAGACTACTGTAACTATGAACTGGACATGTTTGAAGGCAACTCAGTTCATCAAATGCTCCACTGCTACTAGCTTCTAAGAGCTGTTTATTTAATCAAACTTTTGGTGAATAAAATTTATTACTATTTGGTATTCCAAGTACAACTGCGATTCACTTTACTAATTGTAACTTTACTAATGGTCTAATTTTGTAGTATGCTTCTTTTAATGCTGGTTAAATTAGTATGCTATCCCTTTTTCTGCAACCTACAAATATATAAAAATAATTGAACTGGTTTGAAATGCTGTTTTTCAAACAAGCACATAATAGTAATCTATGAACATGTTAAAAATGAAAAAAATAGTGCTCTAACTAACTGTGTGTGCTTTCGTTTTCATTGCTGTCAGGAAGCCCTGGCAAACTCCCAACACTTACCCGAATCCCTGGTTCCATGCCTGCCCATACATTCCATATGCAGGGACTTGCCAGCCATTAGGCATGTACTGGCCGATCTGCTGGGCGTTTCCATACCACTGGCCCCACTGCCCATAAGGTGGTGGATAGCCCACTTGATTCTGCTGAAAACGATGGTCCAAAGTTAGCATGTCACCAAGGCAAAATCGCTTTGCAAATTCATGCCTAATAAAGTACCGTATTTTTCAGAGTATAAGACGCACCAAGGTTTTGAAGAGGCAATTTTTTAAAAAAAGTAGGTAGGTAGATAAAGGGATAGGGAGAGAGAGAAATAGAGATAGAGAAATACAGTAGGTAGGTAGAGGGATAGAGAGAGAGAGAGAAATACAGTAGATAGGGAGAGAGTGAGTAGGTAGGTAGGTAGGTAGAGGGATAGAGAGAGAGAGAAAGAGTAGGTAAGTAGGGAGAGGGTAGGTAGGTAGATATTTCCACGTGTATTTATCCATGTGCTGGAGAAGGAAATCGCTGACAAACTTAAGACTTTGTTTCTGCTGGGACAGCACTTGATCAATGTAATTCTCATCAGTTAAAGAGCTTTCCAAAAGGGGGAAAAAGTTTTTGCACTCTGCAAACCTCTGAAAACGGCCTCTTTTTTTCCCCAAATAAAAGGCATGAATAGCTTTGGGGGGGTTTGCAGAATGCTCGGGGAGGGGGGCAAAAAACGACTGTTTTTTCACAAAAATGGGCCTTTTTTGTCAAAAAAAATTGCATGCATAGCCTTATGGAGGCTTATAGAGTGCTGCTGGGGGGGGCAAAAAAGCCCATTTTTTGCTCATTTCTGCCCTCCCCAGTGCCCAGGAGTTCTCTGAAAGCCTCCATAAGGCTATGCATGCAATTTTTTTTGACAAAAAAGNAGAGGCCAAAGGATGGGGGCCGGCAGCTGGGCAGGACTACATTCAGTGTATAAGACGCACCCAAATTTTCACCCTCTTTTAGCGGGGAAAAAGTGTGTTTTATACTCTGAAAAATACTGTAATAATGAGACAGCAACTTCACCCATTAACAGTTACAACAATTACATTACATTCCTTTAGTACAGCAAATATTCCATATCTCTACAGGATAAGAAGTATTCCTCATCCATATAGCTGATTATTTGGTGTGTTCTTTTCCATTCTGTAAACATGAATGATTTCAGCTCATAATTAGAAATAATCATTCAGTCAGAAGTCCTTGAAATGATTCTGGTAAGAAAACAAATGACCACAAGATGGAGCAAGTACATTTTCCAAGAGAAGAATTTTAAGAATAAGGATTGCGTGAATTTTATGTGGAAACATATCTTTTCAAAAATTCCAAATTTGAGGGTGAGGAGAAAGTATTTTGCACCTATCACTTTCTGTACTTATGCTGGTTATAGGGTTTTAAAGGAGAAAACGTTGATAAAATTTTAAATAATTATTCATAATTTGAATAATGGATTTTTCATTTTGCAACAAGTTCCAATAATGAGAAGTACAACTAAGCCAGATGGAAATGAAAGAATCAGATTTGTAGCCCAGTCACAAAAAATATTGAGTCTTGATATTAAGTGATACCAGTTGTTCCCTACGCCCATATTCTAAACCAAAGCTAAGCATTTTATGGCCTGTAGGCCACATCTGGCCCTTTGACTTCCCTGTCTGGCTTGCAGCACTGGCTGGAGCTGCAGTAGGGGGACAGGGAACGTCGACCCTCCATAACAATTCCAGTTTCTCACATGACACCTTGGGAAAATTATTTGCCCATTCCGGTTCTAAATTATGGCAAGCAACAGTTCTAAATTACAGGAACAAATCTGCTGCCAAGCTATTGAAAACCTATATAGATTATGTTCTCCTCATGGCAGCCATGTTGTGATGGCAACTATTATAACATACTGCAATAAATATTGAATATAAGTTAAATCATTAACGAAATAATTTTCTGAACTTCATGTAGCCTAGCAATGTGAAATCCTATATTTCTTCTACAATGTATGGAGACTTGAGGATGGTATCACAACAGAGAATATATAAGATTTTCTAAATATGAATGTGAATTACTTGAAAATTACCCTCAATTCATCAATTGAGGGTAATTATCCTCAATTTATGTGTACTGTATTTTTGTTTCATCTATATTTATTGAAAACATATAATCATTACACTGGATGACAATGTTAAGTACGTATCATTATTTATAAAAATAGTTTTTACCATCTTATTCACTAAGAACTCTACGGACACCAACTATTTTCACACATCACACTAAGCTCATGGAAGCATATGCTTTTTAATGGAGTGTTTTTGACTATTACATGTTTGTCTACAGATTAACATGGCTGTCCTCCGACTATGTAAGTATAATTGGCTTGCATGTGGTTGTACATATTGTGCATGCAAATCATGTGAATGCCATCACATGGCTTATGAAATTAACCCCATATTATGTTTAAGTAAACTATTATTACAATGTACTGGTACAGTCACATAGTATGATTTACTTTTTACAAAAAATGAAGAACCAAATGTTACACATCACTTAACTAAATATCTTCTTTTTCTTTACTTTTTTCATTTTCTGGGAGTACCTCAACTAATTCATGATGCACTTTAATTCTGTAAAAATCAGACTTCACTCTCTTACCACTATTATTTCTTTTGGCGAGAGTCATTGTTTTCCGCAATGATCTTATTGGCTTTTCACCTCCTTCATTTCCAAGTTACTCCTGTGCCAATTTCCCTTGACTCATTGTGGTGTATAAATCTAAAACTGGGGTAACAATATGATGCCCTCCAGATATTTTGGGTAGCAATTTTCAAAATTACTCAATACTCTAGTTAGGATTTATGGAAACTGCAGGCCAAAACATCCAGAGGCTCCAGGCATCCTTCCCCTGACCTATATTGGCAGTGATCCATATCTAAAAAAGTTAATAGGGAATATTACGTTTATTTAACATGTCAAGTTCTTCATTAATGCAGAATACTGCAATGAGCTGCCTGGGTTGTACCAAGAAAATAAATACATACCTCCAAGTCTTTAACCAGGTTTTTCCCATTGTGCTCATTTTGCTTTTAGCCCTTCCAAGTTCTCTCTCTCTTTCTGCTTTCATTCTCTTATCTCCTCTTCCATTCCTCCTTTCCCTTCCACCAACAGAAACTACGGTTCTCATTATTTCTTCTTCAACCATTCATTCCCCACTTCTCCAGGGGCAGAAGAAGCTGAGCGTGAAGACTGGCCAAATCTGCGATCCTGCAGGGCTGCAAATGAATCTAAAACCGCCCCAAGCGACCTACATGACATACAAATGTGATAAATAAAATATAAATAAATAAAACGCCCCCAAGACAACTCCCGCTCCCTCCTTTTCTTCATCATTTTTCCCCTCTGGGGACGGTTTCTTCTCGGCGCCTTCCGTCCCACCTGCCAGTCTCCTTTTGGGCAGCAGGCTGCGTCGAGAAGGACCCGGCCGCCCCCCTTTCTTCCCTGGCGGTTGCTCCTCGAGCTTTTTTCCACCCTCACACAACTCCCCTCCCCCCCCCCGCTTTCATTTCTTCCCGCCCTCCGCTTGTCTTCCCTCTCCCTAGGTCCTACCTAAGCCGCCTTGCTCGCCTTTCGGCCGACTCAGCCTAGCCTGGAGCTCCGCCCCCGCAGCACGCATCACCTTTGCCCCGCCCCGCGAAGCGGCCTGGGCCCCGCTATTTCAGGGAGGCGGGGCCAAAGGTGTTAGCTCCGCCTCTCGCCGGGTGGTGACTGCGTTGTGTGGGCCCGGCGGCCGCCGCCGCTCTTTTCTCCTGCTCCGCCGCCTCTCCCTCCCTCCCTCTTCTCCCTCCCTCCCGCAGTCATCGCCAGGGCGCGCGCCATGGCGGAGCCGCCCGCTTCTCCCGCCTCGCCAGGAGCTCAGCCGGCGGCCGCTGCAACCCCCGCCGGCGGCTTTCAGCGGCTGCTCTTCACTCACGACCTGGTGTCCGGCCGCTATCGGGGTTCGGTGCGCTTCGGCCTAGTCCGTGTCATGCATGGCGAGGATTCCGACTCGGAGGAAGAGGACGGCGGCGGACGAGGCCCCGGGGGAGGCGGCCCTGGGGGTGGCGGAGGAGAAAGAGGAGGAGGAGGAGCCGGTAGCTCCGGCGGCTCCGAGTCCGGGGGCCCCGGCGGGGGCGAGGAGAATCGCGGGAGCCCCCTCCGCCGCGGATACGTGCGAGTCCAGTGGTACCCGGAGGGCATCAAGCAACACGTCAAAGAGACCAAGGTAACCGCAGCTCCGACGCCGCTGCCTCTCTCGGGACTCCTTTTGCATTTCGTCCGCACACGCGGCGGCTCGGTGGGTTGAGTGGGTGGGGTGTCCGCAATGGGGCTGAGAAGGCGGCGGCGGCGGCGGCTGAGAAAAGGGTGGGGAAGGGAGAGAGAGGTGCATTAGGCTTAGGAGGGTCTCCCGGGATTGACAGGTGGGAGCTAATGGCCAGATATTGGGAGCCCATAGGGGGAAAGGGGGTACCGTTTGGGGCGGGGGTTCCGAGAAGTTGGCCTGAAAAATGCTGGTCTCTGGCCGCCAAAAATATGGAAAGCCTCCCTTGCACCACTGGGGTTGCCTGGTCTGCAGTGTCTTTTTATGCAAAATAGGCCTTATTAAGGCGCCTGAGGACTTCTGGTTCCTGCACCAACATTTGAAATAAAAGTTCCAGGTGCTGGTGGAGGTTTTTTTTATGGCTCTGGGTCATGCAGATGGGATTTTATGATGTGTCAAGATGACATTGGCTTCCATTTGACCACCACCTATCTTTGGCCATGATTGCTCTCTTTTTTTCTTTACAGACAATATCAGTTGAAGGGAAAAGCTGCATAGTGCCTTTTGGGAAATAGCACCATAGCTTTAGGCAGCCTCCTGATTCTTGCATCCTTACCTCATCATTCCCAAAGTCATTTTTAGTCATTTGTAAGGAAATACATTCTTTTCAGCATCATCCACCGTAGTTTGTTCCTCACCTGTGATTCTGTGTAGTGTAGGGGATCTTAGTATATTAGAAATAATCATTCTTGGCTTAATTAAGCTATTTTTCTTGTCTTGCAGTAATCTTTTGGTGTTATTAGGTTGTTTCTAGTTCACAGATGTGCATCCAACCTCTGTTTCTGACTATATGGT